TTTTATTACAATCAGATAAAGGGCATTTGTTTTCTGTTGTAAGTAAAAATTTTTTTTCTATACATTTTCTATGATATGTATGTCCACATGAAAGTATTGTAAATAATTCAAAATTAATAGATAATATTTTGTTTTCACATAGTTTACATAGTGGCAATTCTGTAACAACAATATCTTGTACTATGTTATGTTTTGTTTCTTTTAAAATATTCAAGTCGAGATTTTAAAGATTAGTAAGAGACATAATGATGAGTTACTAGATAAGTTTTTAACAACGAAATTACTTATACTTAGCTTTTTTATATAGTTTTTTTCTCACGACTAACAAAACTAATTTGCAGATTCTATTAAGCTAATTTCAGATTTGGTAATCTGTTTATTCATGAATTAATTAGTATGAGCCAGGAGAGTCAAAATCTTGATCTAAAGGATCATCGCTAGATCTTTAGTAGCAATTGCGGACAATTTTTAGCTTATGGGTAAGCGTGGTTGGTATATTCGTGAGCTCCTCCAAAGTTAGATCAGGTTCTGAATAAATTCGCCTTCCAATTATGGATAAAGATAAACAGCTTTTTCAGGAATTAATAACAAACCAGGAGGAGATGATTGATATTGTAATAAATGAGTATTGATTTTTACTTTATCACGGACATAACTATAAGGGCAGAAAATTAATACATACAATATAGGTATATATATGTACTGAAAAAAGTGCTGAGAAAGTATTGATAGAAGTACCTCCATTGAAAATATTATCTAGAAAGGTTTTAGCCCATATTGAAGAATGATTCAAAGACCTTCTACTCGCACCAGTTATTATAGTTAATTAGATAGATCATTACTCTGGAATGCAGACATAGTTGGTATGCTTATTTTTACAATATTTTCAGATAGGAGAAACAACCTTTTTCTTTTTAATATGAACACGATGAATCAGATATTCGAGGCTCTGCCTCTCTTTTTGGGATTTTATTGGGTCGAGATTATACTAGTTTGAATCCATGGATTCTGAATCAGAGCTGGATGAATTAGTCTCTGTTTCAGATTTGTTGTGAAATATTCCATGATGTTTCTTCCATTGCTTATTATTACAAAACAATGACCTTTCAAGTCTATCTTCAGTATTTGAGAGAATTTTGTTAATTATATTTATAACCTTCTCTTGAGCTAGACCAGATTTAGATTCTGTTGATTTAGGGACAAAGTCTCATGATTCAGAGAATCACCTAGGCACGTAAGTGCCATTGTTTCACAATATGGCCTGCTCTGTAATAGATAAGTTATTTTTAGTGGAGCTAGCTTTATAGCTTAAAAAGTCGCCTGTAGGTCTGCTATCTTCTTCGATTAATAGAATACTCATATCATCTATCTCAATTTTAGCATAGCGCTTACAATTTTACAGAGAAAATCCAAAGCTAATTTTTGTTTTGCATATCCATAACCAATCCCGTCCTAGCACCAAATCAAATGATAGATTTTTGTGAATTTAAAAATCTATTACTTTGGTACCATCTAAGCTTTGTCATTTTTTTTTATACCGAAATTGCAAATCTAAGTATTTTATTTCTTTGTCTATTAAATCATCACCAGATATACCTTCTAAGCTATAATCTTCTTCAAGCTTATTATACAAGTGCTTGCTAATAGTATTGGATTTAGATGTTGTATCGATTAATACTTTTACTAGGATTTTTCCCCTCTATGATTGTTTTTATAAAAACTATGTCAAATATTGCTAGAAGCAACTACACAGTAGCTATTTAATAATATATATTATAACTGAAAAAATAACTAAATTTAGATAATTAATTTTAGACAGATATATTATAAGTTAATAATTTCTGATATATAAATTCTTT